GTATATTGCAGATGTATGTAAACCGGGCTGGTCATATTTTAATGGTATTTGTTACTCGACAAGCCATTCATGCAAAAATTGGACGGAGGCTGAGAAAACCTGCCAAGCATATAGCGGCAACCTCATCACTGTGCGGAATCAAATAGAAAACGTCTATATTCAGCATCGGCTGAATGGTGCCAAGGGCTGGATTGGTCTAAACGATAGGATAATTGAGGGTACTTTCGACTGGGCAGATAATCAAACCAGTAACTTTTCATATTGGGCGAAGAACCAACCAAACAACTTCAACAATGAAGATTGCGTTCACACTTTGGGAGTCAGACATAGTTTTATGTGGAATGATGTAAGCTGTGGTACTTGCCATACTATACCTGTTCAGAAGGTTTGTGGGTGACTTACTTCTTTTATATACCAACAGGCGTTACTATTATAATCATCATTGTTATTATTATTATATTATTCATTAGTTCCTATTCAAAAGCAATTCAATTCCTATTTTCCCCAAGCCTGTTTCAAAAAGAGATTATAAAACTACTTCCTCATGAAAGGGTTTGCTATTGACCTTATTTTGAAAGTGTGGGTTTTTAGAAATCGTTTCCAGGCGTTTAGAGTTATTTTTATTTATTTTATTTTTATTTTCAGAGAAGATCCTAATTGACTTTCCCAATTTACACGTCAATAACCAATAAGCCATTTGCACGATGACGTCATTTACTACTACTTCCAGAATCCTTCAGGGTATTGCTCTCTTATGCAAATTACGGCTTTTGATAGGTAAACCTCACTGGAATTAGCAAATTTAAATATGAAAGAAAAAACGAAGTGAATTCTGGTCCTAGAAGTAAAAAAGCGTCATTGTGCAAATGGCCCATTTCTCTGGCTTCTTAGCTGACAAAAAGTTTTAGTTTACTGTAAATCTGTTTGTTGCAGAAATAGTATAAATTAAAGGATTAGTCTACAAAGAAAAATAGGCTCACTAAAAGGATCCATAAGCTGGCGCTTTTAGCACTGCGTTACCCCTTCATACACAACAGTTTTCGTGAAGTTGACTCATATGAGCAAGGATTTTAAATTTTGATTGAAAAATGATCGTTTCATTATTTTTTGCAGGTTGATTCACTAAACGATTGTTTTATATTTGTTTTTACGATTAGATTTTGATGAATGTGGTGGAGACAATAACCATTGTCATCAGAACGCCATCTGCACAAACACTATTGGCTCCTATAGCTGCCGGTGCTCCGTAGGATATGCCGGTGATGGCTTGCTTTGTAGAGGTATTATGTTCGAAGCCCCAAGTTGTAGTTTTTCGTTTAATTCGTGAAGCATAATTATTAAAAAACCTCATCCAATGGTAAAGAGACATCTCTTGTGAGTTTAAGGCTATGCTTTTACCGTAAAATTGTGTGAAAATTTATTTGGGTTTAAATACGGAGCAGCGTATAATAGTAGTAAAAGTAGCAAAACAAGCGTTTAATTATAGGCTAGTATAATTTAGGAGGGAGATCTTCTCAGCAACTTTTCTTTTTCCAATTTCAGAGATGATAAAATTTGGACATTAACCTATGAACAACACTGAGCAATAAAGTTTATTAACTATCCTAATTTTATAGTTCATAGCTATACAGACCATAGAGTATAGTTTTGAATACAGCCCAAAAAGGGAACTAAAGTAGGTATGGTTGTTGATTTCCCTGCAATTTCAAAATCTAACCTCTCATAGACTGCGTAGCTTTCCGCTCTGGTTACAACTTTCTCAACAAACTCGAGCGGGGACGCCTGTTAGATCTTGTTAGGGAGGCTAAAACTTTCGTGGATTTATTTTAAGAGGCTTTCTTGTATGTTGATGGGGCTGGTATGCCAGAAGCTTCAAACCGTCCTACGGTACTTTGAATTCCTTGAAACCTTTTAAAGACTTTTTTTTTTGCTCCAGATATCGACGAATGTTCCTCAGGTCACCAGTGTGACAGCAGTGCTACATGTTATAATACTGATGGATCCTACACGTGCACATGTAACAGCGGCTTCACGGGGGATGGACGAACCTGTCAAGGTATAAGCCTTTGAACAAATACTGAATACTATAAACGACAGCTCTGTAAAGCATTTCAATAAATTAGGTTGGCTGCCGTAGGTGACATCATGCGTATAAGAAAACTTCTCATTCTACACAAAGGGAGTCAAGATCATCGTCCTGATGATTTTACGTCCTATTTCAAACATGTCATATAAGTCTTCTTATCTTCCAGATGTTGATGAATGCTCCCTCAACACCCATGACTGTCACTCCCATGCAGTCTGCACTAACACAGAAGGGTCATTTACTTGCAAGTGCGACGTGAATGCGCATTACATTGGTGACGGGAAAACATGCACTCCTCATCGTAAGCCAAATTATATGTTTTACTTCATTTTGTTCTCTTCGTTTTACCACTCTGCCAATTGTTAACTTCTATTTTGTGGGAAAAGGTATCTACCAATGTTTATGTTGCCAAAGAGCAACCCCTCACCTGCCTGTCGATCATCTTGATTATGCTCTTGTCCAGGAATATACTCTTAATGAAGTTTCAAATGCACCGAAAGCGAGATCTGCTCGTTTATTATTTCGATTGCTTCAGATTTTCTTGGGTACTTTAATTTTGAGTGTATTTTAGGCTAACCCCGCCGATATTTTTAATTAGTCAAGTGTTTTTTTTTTAGGTATAGCAAATACTGGAGTTGTTGTCAGTTTCCGAAATACAGTATCTTTTAAAAGGATGAATTTCTGATTTACTTTCTTCTTACCAGGTGGCCTCGATGACTCCGCTATTTTAGCGAACGATGCCAGCAAGATATCGCAGTTAAATACGTGGCTTCTTCCGCACTTACAAAGTCCAGACAGAAGTTATTGGAAACTGTGTTATAGGGCCTCCAATCATGGCTGGAGATCACGGACCTTTCACAGCTATTGCGATAACAAAGGTCCCACTGTAACGATTGTTAGGGTCGGGATCTATATCTTTGGAGGCTACAACGACAATTCATGGCAATGTAAGTCCGTGAAATAGCTAACTAAGATACCTACCAGGAAGGCTTCGACTGGTTGAACTGAATTAAAGATGAGGGGTCGTTGACCCCAAATGTGAAAGAAAGAAGAGATGTAGCCTTTACAGTTTTCGCCAGTAGTTCAAAACAACTCTAGTCTTAAATAGATTTTTATTAATCACCCGCGATATTTTGTAGTAATTTTGAAAACGTCGGCGTATGAGGTTTTAAGATTAAATACTTGCAAGACAATCTTACCTCGGGTCTGCTGTGTCGCTCCTTCTAATAGTCGTCGCACTTTGTATACCTGTCGCAGTTTGTCAACTTAAAATGGGTGCTCGGAGGACAAGTAAACCCAGTAATAAGTATTATCATCGACAAAAACAACAACAACAACAACAACAATAATAATAGTAACACTCCACTGAACTGTTTTTAGCACCAGTTTCTCAAGTGGGGGTGGAGGAAAGTGTTCACATCAACTGCGGCCTTTCGGCTTAAAGATCTTTCTAGGGAAGTACACCGGCAACTCTTTCTATGCGGACGACCTCGAGACCGTGAAATAGTGTCCATAACAGAAAAGGTCCGTAATAATGGGAGTTTGTATTGGAATTTAGCCGCTATCCGTATTATCGGGTTGTCCATAAAAGTAAGGTGTTCTTCAGGCGAAAGGTGATTGTATATTAATCAAATTATTTTGAAAGTTGTACTCGTAGTACGGGCAACCTGCGAGGATATGAACAGGGATATAACAAAATGTTAGTGTTTACTGCCATGAGTAAGCGCTAAACTTATATTTCATAAAACTAGAAAACATAAACTCTGAGCGCAACACGATACCACAATCATTATCATAGTCAGACAAACATGATCATCAGCATCATCATCATCATCATCATCATTATAATCATTATAGGTATTATTACTATTGTTATTGCACCATGGACGTTACCATGTCAGCCGAATTTTGACAGCGACGTTTTTTTCAATATTTCTTTTTTTCATATAACAAAGGATTTATTTTTATTTTTACTGATTGTATTTGAGCATTAACCTAAATTTAGCAATATTTTATTATACTTATTATAACTGTAAGTGAAATCCAGGCTCTTAAATGACTGATTTGAGAAAAAAATGCGAATTTAAAATAAGCAAATAACAAATGTTGGGTTAAATTCTTAACAGAGAGAATTTCTCTCGGAATTTCATAACTTGCGGGTTTTTTTGCTTTCTAAGCATCGTTTTAAGCACAGATCGATTTTTCTGTAACGATTACCTCGATTTATGCGCATTACAAGGAAAATGGAGAACAATTTAAAATTGTGGATCTAAGATTGCGCATGGTTCCAGATCCCTTTTTGGCAATGAATGTCGATTTTGTCGGGCACCTTACTATTTGAGTATTTTTTGCTTTGAGAGAAAAATTATGGAATCAGATTTGGTCAATAAATTCAACAATATGACTTCATAATGACATCAAACTACTTCTTTGTGTCAATCAAGTTATGCCTAGATGTTGGAAATAAAGAGTACATTATTCTTTGTTATTTTGGTGGCTGTATCATGAGCGGCTTTGTTATAAATAATCATCATCATCATCGTAAAACATTCTCAATAATAATAACAATAAAATACTATTATATAATTGCTATTAATACAAAGAATATCTTTTTTATTGATAACAATGCTAACTATTAAAATCCCATTTACAATTACTTCACTTAACAAAAACACTATTCCGTCAAAACACTATTTACAATTCCTTTGGTTTTTTTTTTAAAAAAAACAATTACTATAGTTTTGATTTGAAAGAATTATTCGAATTAAAAAAAATTCATTTCATTTAAAACAATCCATTTCCATTTAAAAAAGAAAGAAACTATTTTCAAGTTAACTTGCATTCTTACTAAGAAAAGCACTGCAAATATCACTAAAAAAGAGGAAAATTAAATGACTTTCTCAATGCGTTATTGACGAATAATTCCCATTTAAAAGTAAGGAAACACATCAATAGTCCGATTGAATGGCTCCGTCAAAATTTTATCGCTATTAATTATTATTATTATTATTGCTAATTATTTTATTATTGTTTTTTTTTTGTCGATGCTGATACTTCTTATTGTTGGGTTTACTTATCCTCCGACCATGCAGTGTTATTACAAAGTGCGACAATTTTATTACAAAGTGCAACGATTATTTCGAAGCGCGACAGAACACGGGTCACAACATTGTTGTAACATAAATTTCATTTTAAACATTTGCCGTCAGTATTATTCGTCTTAAGGGACACTTTGAAAAACTTTTGTGACAACCAGTCAGCCTGCCAGTAAGTTAGTAGTTACTTCAAGTCTGACACATTTTCCATGCATTATCAGTGATGACAATTCTTTCAGCCAGAAGGTCCTTCTTTTGTACAGCGGCTTTGCCGTACGTCTTCTTGTACGATCGGAGATCAGGCGTATCCAGAAAGATAAATGTTTGTTCCACCGTTCCTTTGAAATTTACTAATGGAAAGCCCTGCAGGGGAAGACAACAACAACAACAATGGGCTTTATTTGCATGACGATACAAGTACATACAGTATTGCAAAAGCTATTTTAAGAACTAAAATTGCATCATAGGGCAATTACGTTACTTTGGTAATAATTTGCCACGAAGATCAAAGCAAGCTGAAATATGTTCTATGAATTGTATACTGATAAAGTAATTAGAGGAGTTCATTTGTTCATTGATCAAAGCTTTTATAGGTAACTGGGTAATGTTTGGAATCAGACTCTTGACTTGATTGTGAAATTTATTCCTAATCACAGAGTATATAGTACAGCGAAAAAGAAAGTGAATTTCGTCTTCTATTAGATTGGATCCACAAAAAGGGCAATGCCTGTTATCCTTCGTAGTTTGATTGTATTTACCTATATCTATCATTAGTTTGTGATTGCTTTTTCTTAGTTTTACTAATAGAGCCCTTGTCCCGGCTGTTGCTCTTGTTAAGTCTAAATAATTAAAAGCTAAATGGTATGATCAGCTTCAAAAGATCTTTAAAATTCACGTTTTTGAGAATGTTGAAAGGTACTTTGCCAATATGACATACATTCCTATTTCATTGAACTTACATAGTTGCAGCTTATGATACTCCAATTCATGAGGATTTGAGAGTGATTCATAACTTGTTACGCCAAGGCTCTTGATTACACACATTATATACCACTTTCTTGCTTTCCTCGATTTACTAACCCACCATCTTTTCCTACAAATTACCATTTTACAGTTGTGGGCTTTAATTTGTACCCTAGACTTGGAATGAGTGGGAGGCTGAGGATACATGAAAACCTCCTCTGTTTTCTTATGTAAATTATGTTTGAAAAATTATTATACTAGTTAGCATAAGAAAACAAGATTTTGATAAAGAAGCAGAAATGTTATAGTTGTATCAAAACAAAGTCCACTCCAGCCTCGTTTCCATCCATAACTGTAAAATGGTCTATTGAACTCGACGGAGCTACAGTGGATCTCTAATTGTTTGTGTTTTGTTTTTTTTTTTCTCTTCAGGGTCTGCTGGTTTTCAATATTCGACAAATACCTTCTTATACTCACTGAAAAACTACTACGGTTATGGATATTTCAAAAATGACATAAGCCGCAACTATCAATACGCCACGTACAGCAACTATAACCAGTTTCCAACTTTTGGTAGCTATGAAATCTACATTGTAGATAATGCAGGATACAATACTAATTCTCGCTTCGCTGTTTGTCAGGAGTACCGCCGTTCGTATTGTGACAATTCTGCCTGGGTTGGAACACAATATTTTTCTCCAGATGAGTTGGAGGTTTATTACGAAGTCCTTGCTTGAAACCGGGAGGCAACATAGCAAAAGAAAAGCCAAAAAAAAAACAACAACAAAAACAACAGCCACAAGAAAAACATCAACAAGCCAACAAAAAAAAGTAATAGCAAAACATGAATAAATAAATAAATCACTTCTCCGTCTTTGACTATACTTTGCTCAGTCAAAAAGAAAGCTACCATCTTTTTCATGATATTTTCAAAGTAACGCAACTGATGACAAAAAAGATGATTAGCAACTAACTTGTGCAAATTCGTTATATTTGGAGCTTTCGCATTATCAATGTAAAAAAAAAATTGCAGAAGTTTCAGCAACAAATGAGGTGTTAAAAGCACTAACAGCGGCTAGCCACAGCACTACTACTTATTCGCGATAGTGGAAATCCCTTCCAAAACGATTAAACGATTAGATAGATAGGTACAGGTAGGCTTGTAGATAGCTAAAAAGAGTTTGCGTTCCCTGTAAAATATCCTTTTTTTTTCTTGCTGAGCACAGATCACTATTTTCTTAGTATGACACTCTCTACTAGCCCTCTCTTTAATAATATAGATCCTTTTGTTTGCAATCTTGGCCACTTTATCCTTCTATGAGATTGAAGCTATTAAGTAATACTATTTTAAACAATGTCATTTATTCTTAATTTAAATACCAATAAATAGGTCTGGACTGAATTGTCCTAGCAGATTAAAGAGCCTCCATGAACATGGACGAGTTTGGTGTTCAATCTCCGCCGACATTCAACTTGAGCGGCTAAATTAAGTTATAGCCCCTAACTTTCAATTTCACGTTTCAACATTCAAAGTTCAACTCCCAACATTTAACATGATCACTCGTTCTTGAAAATTGAGCGCGCAGCATTCTACTTATATACACAACATGTAAGTTGAGCAGCCAACATTCAACTTGAGAAACTGAAAACCAACTTCTCCTCTCAGTTGTAATTTCAGTATTCAGTACTCGCCGTTATATATAAGTCTGATCATCTTTTTTAGTAGTCCAATATGTTAAAAAGATATTGAACTCGTATTAGACGCGATGGGTAGTGAATAACTGCCGTCACGGATAAATTTCATTGTTGCGAAATCTTGACCCCATTGTACGGACAGCCTTGCCCTCCAAAATGTATCTGACGTATGTCAAAGGCTGACGTAACAGGCAAACCATAGGGGTTGTTT